GTTAAATCGCCTTCCCAACTCTACAATCCTATTCTGGTATTCAAAAACTGTTAGATATAAAGCAAAGCTTGTGAAATGGAGGTGTGAGGCTGGCATAAACGTTTATGTCAGGTTGTCCTCTTGGGTCACGTACTCCTTGTGAATTATTCATCCGACACTTTGAAACATACTGTACAGGATGCATCAGTGAGCTGAGCAGCATCCAACTTGGCAACAGCGAGAGGACTCTGGATAGACAGTGTGTTCGAGTGAGGCGTCACGGAAAGAGAGTGTGGAAAAGAGGTAGCGCCAAAAAGCGCAGAGTCGAGGCTATTATTGAATCTGATAACCTCCCTGTGAGGCTGACACTAGAAATGCACTGTCACTGATTTTTCATTGAACATCTTACTTGATACAATGCGAGGGAAGGTCAAAGAAAATGTAAACGCTGCAAATGTGTGTGTGTTTGTGTGTTTGTATAGGGCAGAGGTTTGTGAAAGTGTGTGCTGTGGAGCGGAGCTGGAGTTGATGATGAAGGTTTCCCAAGAAGAAACACTGTCTCTTTTTTCCGTATCCATTTTTCAACATGCCCAGATGAGCGTCAATAGACCAATGAATCAAGACTTATTCTCCACAGCATCCTTAATCAAAGGAGAAGAAAAGAAGGGCCATTTCATGACATGACTGTAATCAATGAACGCATGGACTTTAATGAGCTGCAGGCTGACAAAGCGCACACAAAAACACCCTCAGACACACACACACACATACCGTTGAGAGCTTCATGCAACAAGGCTCATTAGCATGGAAATCACAGCTTTTGGACCTGAGATGCATGCAGAAATAACTGAATTCTCAAATGATCACCTTGGTCTGAAAATTGATGGAAAGTTATTCTCATATTTACAATCTGTATGTTAAACAAGGGTCATACAAAGGAGGAGAGACAGAGATGCTCTGTTGCAGACATCACAATGGAGCTGCGCCAGTCTCACAATTTCTGTATAGATCTCAGAATGATGAGATGAAGAGGCATACATTACCTTGGCATTTACAAATTCATGCATATGAGGGGGTTGATGTGACCACTTTGATCACATTATGGGTTATGTAAAAAGCCTTGTGTACCCTGGTATTGCAAAAAGGGATATTATCCAAATACCAGCTTTATATATCGTGGTTTATTTCAAAAGGACTCAGTACATGATTGGAAATTTTTTAACTGAGCTATTAACGTTTGCACAAAGAAAGAAGAAATCCCAACGTGTGTTGTTGATCATCCTTCAGTGCCATAATTAATGTCTTTAAAATAACAGAGTTGAAGGCATACATTTTATTTATTACCTGGCTGTGTTAAAGCCTTGATTCTGGCTGGTCACAGACTGGAGATAATGATAATTACTAGGCTCGGCTGTGAGAGGAGCTATTAGGCCTGAATCATCGCTGATAGAGAGAGGTGGAGGAAGATCTTGTCTTGAAAACTCGGTAACAGCAGTGAAGCTGGTGAGAGCATCTCTGTCTGACCAGTCAGTATAAAGTAACTTGAACAATGAGGTAGTAACATTGTTTGACATGTGGAGGTATTTGCCGCAGTGACATACATTTATATTAAATGTATGTCAGCTGTAAAGCTCTGAGAAGGGGGACAGCTGGATATCAGCATAATTTTACCACACGGGGAGACTAAAGCTTTAACTTGATTTAAATGATCAGTTTACAGGTGCGCTGTGTAGACTGAGGATTTAAGTAATACTTAGTGGTAAGATTGTAGAATAGCAGTGCAACATGGCAGCCTCTAGAGTGAGGAGTTGCTGCTAAATGCATTGAATACAAACTAATTTAAACAAACTTCTGCATAATTCAGCCAAATTTTACAAAATGTACCTTCAACATTATTTGACCATAGTCTGTTTAAACTATGGACAACTTGGATATGCTGTCCGTTGTTAGATGAATTTGAAGCCAAATTGCTCTTGGTATTTTCCCCACTTCCAGGAACCACCACTTGCACAGTAGCTTTGTATGCATTTGGTAGGAGAGTCGTTGTGATGACGCTCTGCTCAAACAACATATCTGTATGGCTGTATCAAGTGTCAATCATAGAAAACATGACCCCTTAATAACTTTTCAAAATGGAGAAAAAAGAGGACTTGAGCACAAACCAGTCTTACAGTAGCTACATGTTAACATTTCAACCAAGGGTGAGAAAAATGTGAATTTTGTGTGATAAATTTCTAAAATTTGTCCACAACTCCATAAGGATTGCTGAAGCAGGTGGGATTTATGACCTATACTGCAGCCTGTCACCAGAGGTTGCTGTTCTTGGGGTGGCTTCACTCAGCAAAGAGGCAGACGGCCTCCATTTTATAAACAGTCTATATTTGACTGAATCCCTTGGCACAAAAAGATTAATGCTGTGAAACATGTAATATAACTATGCTGGAAGGTTAATAATAATAATTATGCATCAGATTTTTAGAGCGCTTTATCAAAGACCCTCAATGCGCTTTACATTGGATACACCATCCATTCGCTCACACAGTCACTCCCTGGTGGTGGTAAACTACCTTAGTAGTCACATCTGCCCTGGGGCACACTAAGAGAAACATGGCTGCCAGTTTGCACCTACGGCCTCACCAACCACCATGACACAACACTCACAATCATACACCAGTGGAGGACACACACTGGGAGCAAGGTGGGTTAAGTGTCTTGCCCAAGGACACTACAGACAGACTCGGGATAGGGGGGAATCGAACCACCAACCTTCTGGTTATTGGATGACTGCGCTACCTCCTGAGCTACTGCCACCCCAAGTAGCATTGCAGTTTTGATGTTCAGAGACTAAAAGAACTCCTTCAGGCTCTATGAAGGATCATGTCACAGTTTACAATAAGATCTATCCACATGCTACTACAGCTGTTCCAGTTCATATGACAGCACAGAGGGCAGATAACAGGTGAGGTGCACACGTCTGTCCTCTGATCCAGCTCTCATTATACAGGCCCTGGTGGATTTGCTGTGACAGTGACAAGGACAAGGACCTTTGCTGGCTTCTCACCTGTAAACACTCAGTTGGAACACACAACCAAGCATGAAATTGAAGTGTTGTTAAGCCTCATGCTGGTGCTCCTATTTTCTTTACAATGTTGTTTTTTTTTTTTTTTGGACCAAGTGAATCTAGTCTTCTTTGGACCATAAAAACAGACACAAAACAAAAGGCACCTTTTTACTCATTTAAAATTTGTCATATTAGGGAGGAAATATGCTTAGTTATATCTTCATAAAAAAAACAGTGTGAGATTTATTAAGACCCATTGACATTACTGACAACTACTTTAATGATGTATTCAACTCGTATCATTCATGAAGGAAGGAAAATAGTCAATTATTTAAGGATGTCTCCACTTAATGTTTTATATCACCACATACTTTAGTGTGTTTGACATGAACAAAAATCTTGCAAACACATTCATGCTCTCAAATGAAGGCAGACTGATAAATTTAGCTCCAAACGTCAGTTCTGTGATTCAGATTTTATGGAAGAGAAAGAGACAGTCTCATCATGCAAGTGTCAGTACCTGGATAGACTAATGCTTTGCTTCTCTTTGTGGCAGCACCACGCTGACAGCTTACTAACTACTCATGCCAGACTGAAATGAAGTCATCCACATGTGCAAATACTCGCAAACTCAGATCAGCATTGCAATTTTTGTTAATCTTCTACTGTTGGCTTTCCAGTGTGAAGAGGTTTTATTAAAAAATAAATAAAATACACAGAATTATACAACCCCAAACAATTACACGGGGCATTGAGCTCTTTTAGCAGATAATTGGGGGATTTTTTTTTTCTTTTTCTCTAATAAGCAGCACAATTGTTATAAGAGATTAACATAAGTAACCTCATTGTTTGAGAACTTCCTGTTTTAAAAAAGCTGTGTGACAAATTGCTTCACATACAGCAACAAATAGCAGAATGCAAAGTGCAGACAGCTGTAAATGGGGAAAAAAAGGCTTTTTTTAAAGAAAATGGGACAATCAAACAAAAAAGGCACAAGATTAAAATGTCTGTGGAGGATTTCAGACATCACATATTTGTGCAAATGTATCAATAAGAATGAATTTTGTAAGAAAACAATTCAACAAAATGAAAGTATTTTCCAGTGGTATAGACCACTGAGCACCGCGAGTTTGTTTGCAAACTGGAAAGCCTAAAAAGACAAAAAATAAAATACAAACAATCATCCTTGGTTTTGGTTCAGACTCCAGAGCATATGTTTGTTGTAAGTTGGCTACTGAAGTGCATATTGGCAACAAAGCTACAAACAAACTATTTTGCAAATTTAGCTTCACCTCGACAAAATGCAATTATAAACAAGGTGCAATGTTATCTGTATCACATAATGATTCAACATTTAATGAGCTGACAGGCAAATTGAATCAATGCAAATTTATCAAAAGCAAACAATTTAGCTGTATGAATAAGCATTTCTGTGTAACGCCATACATTCCTGGAAAACTGTCCACAGAAAAGAAAAGAAAAAGAGCATTTTAATGTCACCTTCTATTATACTGAGCCAGACTTAAAAGCTACCAGATGGTGGACATGAGGAGAATGGGTAAAACAAAGTGTTTGGCCAGCAGGCTGATCACCTTAGGGACAAAAGGGAAAAAAGGGAGCTATGGACGGATCAAAGGAAGAGTGAAGGGGATCAAACCAGACTAGATTGTCAGGTAAACCCCCGTATTTGCACAGATAGCCTTACGAAGCCAATCTTGTGAAGCAATGCTCCATCCTTAAGGAATCAATCTTTAGCTATATGTGTCTGGTCTACGGTACCACACAAAACGGGATATGTTTGACAGGGGCTGCAGGGCTTATAGAGTGAGACGAGCAGGACTTACTAATGCTAATGTTCAAACACAAACACAGGAAAGGCTGTATATCTCGGCACAGATGGTTAAAGGGATACCACAGTGAAAAAATCAATCTGCATATCCAACAGTAACCTCTGTAGGCTTGATAGTTGGCTTTGAAATGTTAGTAGTGTTTTTTTCATGTGAACAGATCTACAGGAGTGAGCTCTAATTCAGCCATCACAAGCTATGGATTTCAATAGAAGAAAAAAATTCTCCAAAGGAACATCACCTTGTACACACCATAGACAGTATAATAACTGGACTCAGCCTTGGTGATGTCAACCATTTGTCTCTAAAGGGGAGTCTTGAAGCCTTTTTTCAATGGTTGTCATATTGGTGGATAAGTCTTTATTCATCCCATGGTGGGGGAATTTACAGTGTTGACAGCAGCAAAGGATCAACATAGCAAACAAACAACCCTTTAACTTTGCCTTCACCTTTGCACCAACACAGTAACCACCTCCTGATATCTGCTCCAATTGCATGTTGTCATCCAGATTTGCTCTTTTCCTCTAGAATAAACTCTTCTCCCAGCAAAAATATCCATCAGCAGTCAAAAAACATGACAAAAATACTTGCTGCTCCTTGACTGAGCGTGGGTAGATACTAATACTTGCTTTCAGGAATAAAAAACAAAATAAAAAGGTTAACGGAAATGAACCCCAAAAAGGCAAGCGCTGGTATAACTGCTGCCCCTCTGTGTGGGACTGGAAATGCCGACTCAACCTAGCATTTGGTTAATCTACCAGAGGTAGACCTTAAGCTTCCTCACAAATAGCCACAGTATGCTTGCTTCATAGTCAGGTTAGCCATACTCTGATTTGACAATCTTGTTTCTGGTGCTTCTGCCTCAAGTGGTCATTTCGGGAACTGCAGTTTTTAGCACTCCCATATGGACTTATTTTCCAGAGGATGCCACATGGTACAGATCCTTTTTGTGTTGGTGAACAGTGATGATTTTTGGTGGGTGGGGCTTAGCTGGAGTTAAGACAATCGTTTTGATGTGTCAATCAGTATTGACCAATAAGATGTTTTGGGCATGATTTAACAACAGCAGAAGATAACAAAAGCCTCTGAGTTTGTGAGATTACTTTCTGACTTTTACATGGATAAGTTACCTCTGATAACCGCAGCAGACGGACTAACCTCAATGCTTTGTAGATGGATGATTTGACAGGATTGCCAAAGGTGGAATGACCCTGGAATACCTTTCTAATTTTCTGATTAGAGGCTAATGACAATACTTAAAATACACAATGTCATCCATCCATACAACTGTAAAAAAATGTGCTGAAGTTTGCTCGGCACATATGAACATTTTTTAATCATCTAATCTGTTCAGTCCTTTGTCATATTGCATTAAACTAAACTTGTTTTTCATTGGCTGACAATTATAAACAGCAGAATTTCAGTTTAGGGACATTACTGTTACTCCTCCCACTCTGGCACCAAGAACACAAGACAACATTTTAAGAATCCTATGTTGCCTTTAACCCTGTGGTGGTGTTTTCTGTCTCTCCAGTTTCTGCCAATACATCATTGTGACTTTGACCATTAAAAGTTCTATTGACAATAATAGTTTAAACTAAAGGAATTAGCAGAAAAGAAGAATAAAAAAGACATAAACTGTTCTGTTAAACATCAAATGCACCAACAGCTTGCTCTGGAAGCTCTGTTGTATTTTCATCCCCCTCCATCTCTGTCATCATTAGGGATGCAGTTTAGTCGAAGGCAACACAAAACTGGAGTTCTGCTTGCCATTCATCCTGCCTTTAAAAGCCCCTCAACCAATTTCCTCACACAGATGGTACGGCAAATGTGATCAGGGATATCAGCACAATTGTCTCAATCACTCTGCAGCCATCTCTAACCCATAACAGCTATTTTCCCAGTGAGAAGAAAATATCTAACGAAACAGAGGCTTATTGCATCCTCTTAAAATCCAATGGCTGGTTTGAAATGGAACATCACTTCAGTGTAGATTTGAGGAGCATGTTCGCTCGTTTCATGTTTGCTGACTCAAATTACCGCTTGTAGAGCAAGGAAAATCTATCATTAGCATATTAGGCAAAGTGTAAAATCAAATATTTATGTCACTCAGATTTAATCTGTTTAGGCATTTGGATTAAAGCAATTAAAAATGAAGGAGTAATTATTCATTGTGGTCTTTTGTTTACTCCCACCTGCACACTCTCATGGTCACTGTCAGCCTACAACCTAGAAATTTTTTCACCACGGCTTTCCACAGCACTTATTTCCTGATAAGCCCAGTGAGATTTTACAAAACGAACCATTGATCACAGAAAGAAAAGAGAAAGTGGAATAGATTCAGGCGGGTAATTTGAATATGAATGAAGTGTCTGATCAGTGAGTGACCCTGGAGTATGCCTCTGCACAAGTTCCCAAGGCATGCACAGAGGAGGAGAACACAAGAGCTGTTTTATTTCAAGATTTAAGATTGCTTCGAGGTTTGGGGCAACAAACAAGCATATCTATTCACCTTTCCAAACCATGTGCGATTGCATTATTGATCCAAAGTGGAAAGATAAGGAGGAAAAACAGAAAAAACACCTTTTGCATGCCTTCATTTCCTCACTGTTAACAGGAGAGACAAAGTCTAAAGAATTGAATGGGTCGGACAAGCGTTTCCTTGTGTGATAAAAGAGAGATGTAGAGTACAGCTGCTTAAAAGCCTTTCAATTTAGTATAAGTAATGAGAAAATATTGGTGTCAATTTTAACACGTCCATTATTACTGAAACTATACTTTTGACAGGACATGTTACATGTTATGTGCTGATAGTAACAGTCAAGTTATTTAAAGGTTTTGTGAGGAGATTGGGTATCATCTTTGGCAGCCCCTTTGGTCAAAACTCTATTTGCTTATCTCTTTATAAATAATTGGAGGTATTATAGGTGAAAATTGTTAATTCGACTGTTTTACACCTACCCCATCTTGCTGCAAGGCATCAGAAATGATTAGACTTGTTTGCATTCGTATCTCACAAAGAGGCATCAGTTTGAATTTTAATCCATTTCATGAACTTCAAAAAACTTATTCCCAAAGTTTTAGAGTGATAACATATTTGATTTTTTCATCAACAATTCTTAATTTATAAGGGCAACATTTCTTCTTCGATGTTTCTTTACAATATAAAATTTAACATGTAAAGAATTTGGAAACACGTGAATAACAACTCAAGGATATCTTGTTGGCCTATAAATCTTGTTGTTGGAACAGCTGACATCTAGATTGATTCAGATTTCCCCAGGCAGTGATGTATGGTTTTTATTTATGAATTTTCAGAATACTTCTTCAAGTTAGTGGTCTAGCCTGATTCATTACACCCACGACCCTTCAAAAAATACAATAAAAAACGTCCCCACATTTAAATGCTGCTAATACTCAACAGTTTTCAGTCCAGTCAAATTGCTTATTTTATCATCAGTGAAAAAATCCTTTACATTTTTCATTTATATAGTGCCAAATCACAACATTGTTATTCTGAGACGCTCTCCAAAGGAGCAGGTCATTTATCATCTACCAGAGATAAAAAAATAAAATAAAATCATTGTGAATATTGAGCCTCACTGTTCCAACATTCAACTCGACCCACATATGCACAATTCCTAGCACATCAGATTATCAGGTGTAATGGCTTCATCTTTTGTTCATTGTGTTTATATTCATTGACGGTATGGTGTGTAAAATTCAGGTAATGTTTACCAATATCTTGTGGTCAGACAATAAATTGAAATGCTAACCTCCCCTCCAAGAAGCACTGGTGACCTTCATGGACCAGAGGCTGTGATGCATTATAAATATGAACATCCATTTGTCAAGTATTTACCTCTCTTTTCTGTTGTCTTCTAGCCTGTGCATTTTGCAATACACTAAACACATACCAGATTGTGCTAAGCTGGAAACAAAGTGCAGGGAGCCTACATGGAATATGTAAAAGATAAAAAATATATTTATAATTCTGGGTTAACACAAAATGAGTAATGCACAATTTAAAAATAGTCAGGATACCATTTTTTTCCCCCCATGTCATTTCTGCCAAATGTGACTTAACATTACATACTGCATCTTTAAACATCATATAAAGCTGGAGAGTTTCCCCATCTTTGAGGATCTGGCCATGAACAGGTCCTGACTGTCTCTATCAAAGCTGACACACTCAGGTAGGGTGTAACACTGAAATTTATCAATTTGGAGCCTTTTGAATATTCAAACCACCCAACTTGAATCTCTTTGATGTTCAGGATAAAATGCTGCAGGTGTGACTTGCTGCTGTGCACACTGAGTAAGTTGCTGCATTACATTTGATACTAAACCGAAAGAGTCTGCAGACAAAATGACGAAAACTTACATCACTAACCATTTTGAAAGGAAAATATGGAGTCACTTTAAGTGTAACGGGAGAGAAAAAAATGACAATAGGAACCATCACAGAACCAGTTAAACAAGGTTCTTACAGAGAATACCGTTAGAAATGTGAAATTTTCTGCACATTTATTCTTTTTAATGCAGAACGGTGCCTGTCTGTCAGAATACTGCTGCAGTCCCCTTAAACAAGTTTTTATTCTGCAGGACTGAAGCAAGTACCCCAAATCCAAATAAAAAGTTGATGTAAAACTCCTAAAATGCCAATGTGATTTTCAGAATCTAGTTTACCACTAGGGCTTACATGCTCTATCTAAAAAAAGTCTGTTTTTTTTGCTGCTGGCTTCGGAAAAAAACTCCTATCAAATCCATTTTCCCAACAGAAGATGAGTTCACTGTGTCTGCATTATAGATCACTGTCCCTGTGTGAGATTGCCTTCAAAATAATGAGCTCCAGGAAAATATTTCTGAGGTTAAAAAAAACAAAAAAACAGGTCAACTTTGAAATGCTCTTTTTTACTGCACCCCAGCAGCTGAAGAAAAAAAACATTATCTTTACCCCATTAAGGATAAACAGCCTGATTTTGGGTCTTTTTTATACATCCAAGGAAGTAAGAGGACTTTTTAAGTGGTTCAGAGTGATAAGCACAAATACATTTCCACTTTCTGAGCCGAAACTATTTGCAGAGCAATTTTCTGTGCTCCCCTACCTTACCCTGTCTCACCGAGTCCCTTTGATCTAATAGAAATCCATAAAGTATACTTGTTTCACCCTCAGTTTATGATAACATAGCATGAGATAACTGCAGGACTCATACAGCTGCACAAGTATGAAGTCATCTTAAAGCGTTTCGCCAGATAACAACCAGAAAACTGTTATATATCCTCCTCTTCAGTGCCATTTCCTCTGTGAAATGTTATTCAGCTCATTTCCACCATCTGATAATATCACCTTGTCTGCATTACACACTGACATGTTCGGCTCACCCATGAGTACAAGGGCAGTAAATGATCGTGGACTGTTTGGCAGATGGAGCCCCACAGACTCGCACACAGCAGTCTTCTCCTTAGTTTGTATTGACTTTGTCTTTACAGCTGTCGTGAGCTAATTTCATGCTTGGTGTGGCTCTTTTTCTCATGCCGGCTCCTGGTTGCGGGTACATCGCCGAAGAAATAAAGCAAGGAAACAGAGTGTCTGATCATCTGATGCTACTGGAGCATAGATGTTCAAATATAGCACGATTGTGGAGTACAAAAGGAATGAAGTGTTGCATCCCATGAATGAATTTACATTGTTAAACCAGAACCACGAGAACAGTCTGTCTGAAAGATCACACCTATGAAATATGTAACAGCTGATTTGAGCTTGAGAAAGACATTATTATAAATCCAGTCTATTTAAAAGACCGTACACATGACAAGAATGACTTAAAAGGTACATTTTAAATTAAGAAAGAGCTTTTTATTACATGATAAGTATGGTCTGTTTCAGTTCGTTGTTCAAGTCTATTTTTGGTTGACGAACAGTCATAAAAGTTTAAGTTAATAAACAGTCTCACTAAAATTCCTCTCTGTTTTGTTTAGAAATAAAAAAAGGGATGTTAACGGGAGCGGCAAACAGGCATTGTCCATAGAGCTGATTGTATCTTAGTGATCAAGATGCATCGAGAAGAGTTTACGAGAAAAGAGGCATGCAGAGATAATTGTGGTGCACTTGTCGCAGATAAAGTGATAAAATGAACACTGCATCCCTTAACTAACTCAGCCTGTTTCAGGAATGCATTATGGGATTATGAGTGCAGGATTAGATGCACAGTTAAAGTAGGGTGACCATTTTCTGAATCCCCCAAAAGAGGACACTACTACACGGGGCAGAGTCTAGTGTAGTAAATTTTGAGAGTTTTTCGGGTCAAGTGTTTTTTACGTGCTTCTAACTCAGTTAGTCCACGTTACACAAACTCAAAACTTCCATACAAAACCCAAGACATTTAAAGGATTAAACAAACTCCACTGGACAAGGCCAGACAGCCCCCCAAAAAGAGGACATGTCCGGGTAAAAGAGGATGTATGGTCACCCTAGTTAAAGTAAAGGTGATGGATTTTAATCTGGAACCTAACCTGCCCTGGAGCAGGTTAGCCGTTCAGCGTATGTTGCCATGGAGACTCGTCTCGCTAAGAAGTGAACCCGCGTCGTAGAACAGGAAACCCCGAACTTACCCTTGAAGTAACCTCGCTAAGCAGTAATCCTGCTTCGTAGAAAAGGCCCCAGGCTAGGAGCCAGGCTTGATTAATCCTGGTAGATTGTGTGTTCAGGGAGTGGTATCTCTACTCAGAAATACATATTTTACAATTATTTTGTGCCCTTTGTATTTTGCCTGACTTCTGTTTGCTTCCATTGATAAATTACCACAGATATGTCATATAGTCAAGCAGGCCTTCTATGATTTTGATCAGACTGAATTGTTGTTCTTTCCCAGATCAAATAACTATGCTGGGCATAAACTGCAAATAAAAGCATTGTCATGATTTATTCTTGTAGTTTTGTCCTTTTGTATTTGTTCCATTTTTGGCGTATAATTCCTCTGGGTTCCTGTTTCATGTGTGTTTTCAGTGTGTCTATGATCCTGTTCTCCTCATGTTCTCAGTGTTTTATTCTTCTGGTTAGTTTTCAGTGTTTGCTGCTTTATTTTGTTGTTCCTTCTCCTTGCCCGTCTGGTTTAGTTTGACTTCCTGTGTTTTTTCTTTCCTTGTGATTGTCTGCACCTGTAGCTTGGTGTCTCACCTGCCCCCTGTTGTTCATTATCCAGTGTATTTAGTCCCTGAATTGCCTTCCCTCTTGGTTAGATTGTTGCCAACCCAGCCTCATGGTTTCCCAGTGTCTTCTTGTCAGATTTTTTAGTTCCTATAGTTTTGTTTGGATTTTCCAGCTGGTGTTTTTTCAAAGTATGTTTTGTTGGACTTTCATGTTTTGTCTTATTTATTTATTTATTTATTTTTGTTTTACATTAAACTTTTTAAGTCCTGCACATGGGTCCTCTCCCTTTTGTTTTAGTTTAAACATGACAAAATGGAGGCAGTGTCTCTACAAGAAGTCAGAAAAAGACTTGAAAGCACACCAAATGTGACACTGTGTCTTTTATTCAATCCATGGACACATTGTGTAGATGTAGAAATACATATTGCAGACACAAGGTCAAGAGACTGTCTATTGTGATAGAGATCATGTACAGCTTGCTGTCAGCTCTAAACTCTCTGACATCCGTGAACAGATAAAATAAAAGCCATCACTCAGCCCAGTGTAGAAAAGAGATGAGGGAACATGTAATATCTGGATGGTATGAAATACAGTGGCAATATTGATTGGTTATTAAAAATAACAGTTTTAAAAAATAGAGGCCTACACTTTAAGCAAGTCTAATTAAAGTGATAATGAGTGGATTGTGATTAACTACACAGTGCATTTATGACTGAAAAAAGGGACAG